CTGTTCAAGGTATCATTAGGTGACTTTTTTCATCAGTAATGTAAAGTAAAACAGCAGGGTGTTAAAGATCACATTTTATTACCAATGTATTACATAATATAACACAATTGGTGTTCCTTTGAAAGTGGATTGGCAAGGCGGTAAGTGTCAAACAGACTGACACGTGACCGGTTGCTATTTGCAAGCTACTTATCAATATCATTCAACCGGGTCGTTTTAGTACCATGACATAGTTAATTACTTAAAATAATGAAAATGATTAATCGTTATTTAAGTTATTTTTATTTATTCCAATCTCATCAATGTGTATTGATTTCTGTAAAGTAACAAATAGTGTACGTGACGTGCATTTCCATGTGTTACAAGGAACCGGACAAAATGTGTGTTATTCCACCACCCATCTTAACTTCACAGAGTTTGAAAATTATTTAAATATATATCATGTGACTTAAAAAATTTATGTTTGGTATCTCAGTTCAGGTTGGATAAAGGATAAAATTAGCTAAACTGAAAACTTAAAATGCTTTATATCACGTGTTCCGACTTTTTTCAGAATGATATTTAACCTCCATTTTAAATGTTAATGAAATCTATATAAAAATGTTATTTATTATATGTAATAAAAATATTTTTTTTAATATGGACGTTTTCAACAACAATTAAATTGACTTCTTTATTTGCTAATATATATATTTCCACATATTTTTACAACAATAATCTCAATGTCAGGTCAGTGATTGTTAGGGGGAATTCTTAAACAATAGTCTTTTCCATGCCTTTTTGGGGCAATCTCGGCAATAAAGCTATGAAAGCATCTTTTGTGTTTATGTTAAAAGCTATTTCATATGATTTTCTTTTTTTTACCTTAAACAAACTCGGAATCGTCTATGAATTTCTACTTCATTTCTATGTAGGGCATGGCTTTTTTTGCCCTACGCAAATTGCGCATACGCGAAAAAATACTACTTCCGGTCATTTTTTCATAGCAACGGACCGCGTCGTAAAAAAGTCTATTGATCAATAACCGTTTTAATGATCAATCTTTTGAAATAAATAGTTAATTCAGCTCAAGTTGACAGCGAAAAATGAAATGAATCATATTTGTCACTTTAAATACGCGTTATCTTTTTTGTTCAGCTCGACTGTTATATAAATAAAAACATAAATTATGTTCCAGAAACTGACATTAACATAACTATATGCGATCAAAACATTATTACAATCCTGGTATGATTTTTAAGCACTATGCTAACTACTGTTTCATCGCTTATTCTTTTTTGACAATGTAAATTTACGATGTCCTATTTCGTCCAAATAATTTTGCTAGTTAACACGCGATAGAACTAAATTTCGCATGTCTTAAATTTTGCTAGTCTCTCAAGCGATATTTATTGCTTTTCCTATAGACCAGGGACACTTATGCTAGCGAAATTTAACAATTTCAACTCGATAATTATCTTCCTATTTTTTTGTATTTTTGTTTGCCTCACGCGATAATTATCGCGTTGAAGGGCGCGAATTATCGCATGATAGACTAGCGAAATTTACTACATGCGAAATTAAGTCTAAATTTCGCCCTTTAGAATCGATAATTATCGTGTGCCTAAATTTCGCTAATCTGTTATGCGATAATAAGCGTTCTTCAACGCGATATTTATCTCATGAATACGAAAATTAAGACGATAATTATCGAGGCGAAGTTTTCCAATGTCGCTAGTATATGATTCCCTAGAAAAGGCACCTGAGAGACTCGCCCGAGAGACTAGCGAAATATCTGACATGCGAAATTTAGTACTAAATTCCGACCTTTTAAGGCGATAATTACCGCATGTTACTTGCGAAATATTGTGGACGAAATAGGACACCGTAGTGTTTTACTTTGTCGTTTATTTCGTTTATCAAAAACATTAATGTCATCATTTGCGCATGCGTGATGAGACAAAGATAAATATTTACTTTCATAACTGGAAAAAGAAACCAGTATAAGAGAGAAATTTCCGAATTAGAAAGAAATTGGTTACCGTTGAGGATTTCTAAGTATATTTTTCCTATTCTTTACAGACCTGTACAGGTAAATACAAACTATTATCAGTAATTGTTATTGTCATTATATAAGCTACAACATTTAATTTGCTATGGTATAACACGCCCATTCTCAATAAAATAAAGCATTTGAGGTTGAAAAATATTAGAAATTTGATGTTGTCATTGTGTCATTTTTTATCGCTGAAGTAAAAGTTTAGGGTATTTTGCAAGTTTGCCAGAAATATTTTGAACAAGAAACTATGATATAACAGGATGGCATTTATTTCGGTAATGACACTGTATTTCTTCGGTAACGTAGATTTCAGATCTAATAATGTAACATATTGGCTGAGTATTAATAACAAATGTCGGTAAAATATATCAAAATCTGTAAATTCTCTATCTAAAGGGACTTTCTAACCCATGAAAATTCAAAGAAGTTGGGTACCTTGCTAATTTTCAGTCAATTTTTTCAAAGTTAAATATTCGTAGAAAGCAAAAATAATCAATTTTGAAAATGATTATTTTATGTCTTCATTCAAAGGATATATATCATATATAATATATGAGAGGTCGAATGCATACACAAATTTTGTATTAGCATTTTTTTTTCTCAAAATATTCAACTTTCTACTTTCTATATATTTGGAAAATTTAGTACTAAACAGTTCGATATTTATCCCCATATAGGATGTCACGTATGTTTCATTTTATTCAAATGCAAGTAAAGGTTGAGAAAACAATTTTATTTTTTGTAAAATAATTTATATTTATGGATATTATTTTAACATTATGATATATAGAATGAAATACGGCCAGTAAGCTCTTTGCAGAAACGAATTAGTTGTTGTTGAGAACATCAATATCTTGTAATATATTTTTATCATTTCTGCTGGTTCATCAACATATTATTAACATATCTTTCCTTTGTAAAAACAATTTTGTGTCTTCTTACATCTAATACAAGGTAACCGTTACTAACAGGCATGCTAATCCCAACTTTATCTTTAATTTTCAAAAATTGTTGAATTGTAAGTTGGAGTAACGTATGTTTCACACTCGCTTATTTATGAACTTTATCACGGAATTTAAACTTACGTGTAAAATCGACTTTTTTATTTAGGAATCAAATGCACATCATTCTATTGTCATAAAAATGCGATTTTATGTTTTTATATATGCATGTGTAAACAATATAAAGTCTGTTTGATAAAAGTAACGTTTGTTTCACTGTGGTTACTTAAACAAGTAAAAACACGACCAAAGTTAACAAAATTTACTTACTGATGTCAAATAAAAACTTAATGTTGATGTTATACGTGCTTTCTGACTTCAATTTCCCTTTTTGATAAACTTACTTTTAAAAAGTTGATAACGTATGTTTCTGTAACGTATGTTTCATTTTTACATTGAAAGTGGGTTAAAAATGACGCAAGACCGTTTAAGCCGCCATAATTTGTGGTTAATATATCAGAGTTACACACATGTTAATTTTCTTTCTTGTTTGGATTCTTCTTTTGAATGGATTGGCTCTTAAATAATGGTAACGTATGTTTCTTTTTAAAGTGCTGTTGAAAAGATTTGAATAAAAAATGAAAATTTCGAAAATAGAATTATATTTGAGAGGCTGCAAGCTTATTTTTACTTATAATTATATATATGCTGTTATTATTAAGCATGCATTGATTCAATTATGTAATTTGGGTTTCACTTCTTATTGTTTTAGGTTTTGTCACTATTTATTTATATGCATTTATGCGACATTTGATCATCCATTATACAATGAGATTTTAACAGTCAAATATAATTTTTACCAATAATCAAAGTGCATATACACACAGCAATGACAAATTGCACATGTTTCGTTTATTCTGGAACTTATTTTTCTGAAACACAATTTCAAAGTTGAAAATTCTAGGTGGCGACAGTAACGTATGTTACATTTTAGGGCATTAATGGTACTTGTAAAAGAAAAATAACAAATAGAAATGTAAAACTGAGAGTGTCCCTATTAGACAAAGTGGCAGCCACCTTTCTAACGACATTTTGACCTCAAAAAAAACATTCGTATAAGAGCTACCCAGTGGAACATCAAATGCTGTGTTTTATTGAGAATGAGCGAACAGTGATATGAATAGATCTCGTACTTTGTCTAGTGTATATAGAATATCAGTTTAATGTTTTTCTGCAACGTTTACATGAAGACACATGATTTTGGTATGATTTTTATGTATGTTCAGACTAAATGTATTCTTTTTTGTGGTACAAGGCCAGTTCTTATTAATTATTGAAATCCCATATTCTGCAGGATCGCAGTCTCTGTTACACAACTGGCCATTCACATGACTAGCTTTCTTATAGGCCACAGGGCTTAGATATAATGACATTTAATTATATCTTTGGAGTAATAAGGATTCTCACTGTTAAGCCATGTATAGATAAATAGTACATTTGTTAAATAAAATCATAACTATCTTTATGTTATCACTATAAACAAAGTTATCTGTATGTGTTGTAGGTTGTAGGACAGCCTATCTAATCAAATATAATTATCGCATGTGTGAAAACCTTGATAATACACTGTTTATATGACATAAATAACAAACACAAGAACGATAAGCGAAAAAAAAAACTTGTATTCTTATATTAATGTGCATCACTATAAGAGTTTGTATGAATTTATTTATTTATTTATTTATGAAAATATTTGCAAGTCGAGAATATTATGTTTAACTATAATTGATAAAACATTATAGATATAGTTTGTTATTTTGAAACACTATGAATGTTTTTTAATCTGTATATAATATTAGAATTTAAATAGAGTTCTCTAAGACTTGATGTAAGTCGTTTACTTAAATAAAAGTGAAAAATACTAATGTTTATGATATTTGTGATATAGTATAAAATTTTCATAAGATATACTCAATTACACTGTCTCAGTTGTTTCATCAGAACTATTTAACGTATATGCTACGTATACCAAATGGAAAAATACATAATTCACTTTTTATGATTGACAGAAATTTGAAACCGAAAGGAAGAAATTGATGGTAGCAGCAATAGATTTCGGGACAACCTTTTCCGGATGGGCATATTCCTTTGATTTTAATCCGTCAAAAATATCCTGCAAGCAGTGGTAGGCCGCATCAAAGCTTTGTAACAATCTTCCTTATTAATGTTTAGCTGACCTGAGGACAATGTCCTCAACGTGAGCCTTTGTGATGGCCCATTGTCCGTTGTACATCATCCGTGCGTCAACAATTTCTTTAAACAACTTTTCCTCCTAAACCTATTGGCCAAATTTGTTGAAACTGTGCAGGAATTGTTCTTGCATGAAGCTCTACCAAAGTTGTTCAAAGAATTAAATTTCATGAAGAACTCTGAATGCCAAAGAACCGAAAGATTCTTTTTACAAATAAATTTGTGTATATTCAAAAGAGGTAGAGCTTAGATATTTGGCATGAATCATCTTTTAGTGGATGTCTTCCAAATGTATTTTTTTTAAAAAACTAGGGTAAAAAATGACCCCGCCCCAGGGGATCATTGATTTTCTATATGTATATAATAAAACAAATCTTTCTGGGACAATCCAAAAGCAGTATCGTTTAGATATTTGGCTTGAAGCATCTCCTATTAGATGTCTACCAAGTTTGATCAAATAAATGCCCTAAGGTCAAAATTGGCTTTGATTTTCATTATAATTATGTATTTAGTAAAAACTATAAAAAAAATTATTGTGAAAATTCGAAAGAAGTAGCTTTGATATTTGGCATGAAACATGTTCTAGTGTATGTCTACCATGTTTGTTGAAATAAAACCCTTATGGTCAATATTGGCCCGCCCCAGGTTATCGAGGTCGAAAGTTAAATCCCCAACCAGGTCAAATGTTTGTTTTCCTTCTCTTTTTCTGACATCTTTTTATTAGCTCACCTCTCACTTGGTGACAGGTTGAACTGTTTAATAAAATGGCCGTCAGAGCTTAAATTAGAAAACAACATCTAAACAACACCTAAATCACTGGTTCAATTAAGAATTAATTTTACACAAAACTTTCCTTGATGACATTGTACACAAATATTTCTGAGTAAACTTTTCCTTGTTTTCAAATTGTACTTCTCGGGTTCCACTTTGACCTTTTGACCTATTTCCCAGGTGAGCGATCCAGGGCCCTCTACGCCCTCTTGTTACGTGTATTGGTCTACAATAGGCACATGTTCCATAAGTATTTCAAATGTTGATAACAGCCAAAAAAAAATTCGTTTGTATGTTCTTATAAAATATTTCTTAATGTTAACAGAGTTCTTAGTGATTTATTATGAGCATTTATCTGACGCAGAACAAAATTTTATCCTAGAATAATGTATTATCTGCTACATAAAGATATGTAATATTGAATCATGTATCTAATACTAATCAACATCATCCGTACATAAATCTTCCGTGGTTTGATGTCAAATATAATACTCCTTGCTATAAATATATTAATAATTCATGATATTACAAACCTTCTATTATGGACAAATTCATTTTAAATTTGTTTCTGGCATTTTCTTAATAAAGAAATGTGCAATACTTACTAACAACCTTCCAAAATTCTTTGCACCCAATGTGTATTTTCATCATGGTAGGTGCAGTGGAAACAGTATTTCTATGAAAGCACCAACATCAGTTTTAATCCAAGCTGATGGAAACACATTGGAAGCGTTTGGTTACGAAGCTGAGGAAAGGTACGCGGAGTTAGCAGACGAAGAGAAACATAGACCATACTTTTACTTTCAACGCTTCAAGATGATGCTGTTTGACAACAAGGTGACATACTTAAGTAATTTGAATAATCCATTTGTCAATGAAATGCAAATTGTGACATTGTTTTATGCATCAACGACATGGTTCTCATAGCAACGCAACACGACAAGATCAAAAGGTCTTCAAAATTAATTGTGTACCCTTTATATTAATTAAATCGTGCTTAGGACATTTTGAAATACTGTTAAGAAAGAAGAATGTGTTTGATGCAGATTTGTTCAAACAGTTTTTATTCCAACCCTTTAAAATGAATATGCAGAATAAAACTATTTCATGGACCTTTTATTTTATACATGTTTGAAATCAATTGTAGCACCTGACAAGAAATGAGGATTTAGCAGATGACAGTGGAAAACGTTTACCTGCAAAACGTGTATTTACTATGGTGATTAAGTATCTTAAAGACGATTTAATGGATGACTCGAGAAAACGACTAACTGGCATCGTAAAAGAGGAAGAAATACAGTGGGTGTTAACTGTGCCTGCAATATGGACCCCACCAGCTAAACAGTTTATGAGAGAATGTGCTGTAGAAGTAAATCATTTTGACAGATTTTTAAACAAGTATTAGATACCAGCCAGAGTGATTCTATCTAAAATTATGAAACAAAAATTATTCATTCATATCTCTTTTTATCTTGGAAAAGATGTTTTGTTAGAACTCATCTAGCAAATTTCGGTTTAGTTTACTTTTCTTTTTTGAATTGAAATGAAAATATTTGTTTGCATCAAGAGTGTTTATTTATTTACAAATTTACGGGAGACAATTACAAATAATATTTATTTTTCATATGCCAACACTGGTCATTTTTCTAGATGCTCAAAGTAATATGAAACTTGGGTAATACATATATTTCAGGCAGGTATACGGTCACAAAATCTGTTGATAGCTTTAGAACCAGAGGCAGCATCTCTGTATTGTAAATACCACATGATAGAGAAACAAGATAAAGAAAATCGCCGAGAGTCTGAAGTTGTTTTTTCCTTTAAACCTGGGGAAAGATATATGGTTGTCGATGCCGGAGGTATGTTTTTGTCCGAGCTTTTTTATATTAAATAAACAACAATTGTGCTCAGACTTCTACATTGACGAAGTTTAAGTGTATTTATTTGC